CACAGCGCTCTACCTACTCACTCGTTCGGTCGTTATTACATGCTATAGTCCCTTCCAGAAGTCCTGCTCAACTTTACAAATCGCTAACTCCGTAACCGTTCGGTGTCAGTTGTTGAAATTTGACAAGCAAACTGCTAATAAGGACAACTCATTTCAAATCCTTTCTACGTCAACCAATGGCTGAACGCTAAGATTTCTCGAAGCTTCCGCGATTCGTCACCTGCGCCCGGAACTCTGTATTCAGAAAGAGATGGTTCTTTCTTTACGACTGCCCTGGTAAAAACAGGCAGCCATGTTTGATTGTTGTTGAAATTGTACTTCAGTTATAAAGGATTCACTTATTTGCTTCATGTATGTAATTGTTACTGTGGTATGCACCTGAAGAGATACAGGCAATAAATTGTGCAATCTATTGTTTGTGTCTTCTTTGTTCAAACTGCTAATGATCAAGTTCTTGTAAAAAAAAAGTTTTTAATGTAAACGCACATCTAGATTTCATTTTGCCTTATTAACAATACAATTAAAAACACACTGATTCAAAGCAAACAATCAACACTTTTACAGTTTTGGGTAACAGGAACTTTATAAAACATTAAATTGCACGCATGTCATAGGTATTTCACTCTCAAGGGGTCGTCTCCAGTGTTAGACTTCCGTGAGTTGCGGACTTTTCATTGTTTGTTGGATAGGCTAGCAAAAAAATTCACCACGCATCGCTGTACGCACGAACTTATTTTTAAGCCAAATGCACGCGTGTGACAGCTAGTGTCTATTCTTTTTTTAGGGTATATATATTATTATTAAAATGACGATGAAAGAAATTCGCCGCTTTAAGAAAACAGCAACACGTGTGCAGTTGTAAATTATGAAATCATAAGAACATGGAAAATCTAAGCTTCCCCCCCCCTTCCCCCTCCCCCAAATCATATTGATCCGTACGAGAGTTTTCGAGATATTTGTTAAAGTGTAAGGGTATGACTTCAGAACCGCACTGTAAAATCAGAAATGCCCCACGACTCTGGCACGTAAAGCAGCACAATGCTGACTGCCAGATTGCACTGTAACGGCCAAAATAAGCTTGCCAAGATGGGTGACACCATTAGGAGTTGTTGATTCCACTTAATCCACCGAGGAAAGCCAGCCATCCAATTACGCACTCCCGTTCAATGCAGGTGGATTACAGGCACAGCTTAAAGCGTCAGTCTCAGTAAAATATGTGTGTTTGGAGTTTGGTTTTCTGTGTTTTCTGAACGGGTTTTTTCCCCTTCTGTTTTCATTTATTTCTATCTTTCCATTTTCTGGGAGCTTCTTGTTTAAATTCAATATATTCTTTTACTCTTTTATATACTTATTCCGATCTGCCTTTCAATTGTTCATCTTGTATGAGCGTCTTCGTCTGTCTGTCTGTCTGTCTGTCTGTCTGCCTGCCTGCCTGCCTGCCTGCCTGCCTGCCTGTCTGTCTGTCTGTCTGTCTGTCTGCCTGCCTGCCTGTGCCTGCCTGTCTGTCTGTCTGTCCCTCCGTCCGTACATCCGTCAGTCTGTCTGTCTGTCCGTCCTCCCCTCCGTCCGTACATCTGTCTGTCTGTCTGTCTGTCTGTCTGTCTGTCTGTCTGTCTGTCTGTCTGTCTGTCTGTCTGTCTGTCTGTCTGTCTGTCTGTATATCTATCTAAATATTTACCTCCCTGTCGATGTCTGTAGCTTAGGCGTTGCGAACGTGATTGTGTAATGCGGGAGTGCTGGGTTTGATCCTATTTGCGTTGGTTTCGACAGTGGTACCGAGAGCTGACTGTTTAGAAAGGAATGGCAAACTACTGAACGTAAAATGAGCCTAGAAAAACCACAAAAGCCACACACACACACACAAATGTTGGGGTTGGTTCTACAACGTCCTGTAACGGATATGCAACTTTAAGAATTTACCTACTCGTCTTTGACTGTCAGTCTAACAGTTAATGATTGGGAAAAGGAAAACAAAACACAAGAGGACAATAAGTAATGTTATAGTAGCAGTAATAGTAGGCAGTGGTTTTGGTGGTGGTAGTGGTTTTGGTGGTGGTAGTGGTGGTGGTAGTGGTGGTGGTGGTAGTCGTGGTTGTAGTGGTGGTAGTGGTGGTAGTGGTGGTAGTGGTGGTGGTAGTAGTAGTGGTAGTGGTGGTGGTGGTAGTGGTGGTGATAGTGATGGCAGTGGTGGTGGTGGAAGTGGTGGTGTTGGTAGTAGTGGTAGTGGTGGCAGTGGTGGTAGTGGTAGTAGTGGTGGTGGTGGTAGTGGTAGAGGTGGTAGTTGTGGTGGTGGTAGTGGTGGTAGTGGTAGTGGTGGTAGTGATGGTGGTGGTGGTGGTCGTGGTAGATGTGGTGGTGGTAGTGGTGGTAATAGTGGTGGTGGTGATGGTGGTGGTAGTGGTGGTGATGGTAGTGGTGGTGGTGGTAGTGGTGGTGGTAGTGGTGGTAGTGGTAGTAGTAGCGGTGGTAGTGGTGGCAGTGGTGGTGGTAGTGGTGGTGTTGGTAGTAGTGGTAGTGGTGGTAGTGGTGATGTTGGTAGTGGTGGTGATAGTGGTGGTGTTAGTGGTGGTAGTGGTAGTGGTGGTGGTGGTGGCAGTGGTGGTGGTAGTGGTGGCGGTAGTGGTGGTGGTAGTGGTGGTAGTGGTGGTAGTAGTGATGGTAGTGGTGGCAGTGGTGGTGGTAGTGGTGGTAGTGGTGGTGGTAGTAGTGGTAGTGGTGATGTTGGTACTGGTGGTGAAAGTGGTGGTGATAGTGGTGGTGTTGGTGGTGGTAGTGGTAGTGGTGGTAGTGGTGGTAGTAGTAGTGGTGGTAGTGGTAGTGGTGGTAGAAGTGGTGGTGGTGATGGTAGTGGTGGTAGTGGTGGTAGTAGTGGTGGTAGTGGTGGTGGTAGTGGTCATGGTAGTAGTGGTGGTGGTAGTGGTAGTAGTGGGGGTGGTGATGGTGGTAGTGGTGGTGATAGTGGTGGTGGTGGTAGTGGTGTAGTGGTGGTGGTGGTGGTAGTGGTGGTTGTAGCGGTGGTAGTGATGGTGTTGGTGGTAGTGGTGGTAGTGGTGGTGGTGGTGGTAGTGGTGGTGGTAGTGGTGGTAGTGGTGGTGGTAGTAGTGGTAGTAGTGGTAGTGGTGGTGGTGGTAGTGGTGGCAGTGGTGGTGGTGATGGTGATAGTGGTGGTAGTGGTGGTGGTGATGGTGGTAGTGGTGGTATTGGTGGTAGTGGTGGTGGTAGTGGTGGTAGTAGTGGTGGGGGTAGTGGTGGTAGTGGTAGTGGTAGTGGTAGTGGTGGTGGTGGTGGTGGTGGTGGTGGTGGTAGTAGTGGTAGTGATTGTGGTAGTGGTTGTTGTGGTGGTAGTGGTGGTGGTGGTGGTTGTAGTGGTGGTAGTGGTGATGGTGGTAGTGGTGGTCGTGGTGGTGGTATTTGTGGTGGTGATAGTGGTGGTGGTATTGGTGGTGATAGTGGTGGTGGTAGTGGCGGTGGCAGTGGTGGTGGTTGTAGTGGTGGTGGTAGTGGTGGTGGTGGTGGTGGTGAAAATAGATGAACAACAACAAAATAATGCTATCGAAACTTATGTACCCGGTCGCCGCCAAAACAAACAGTTGTAAGCGGATAATGAAGGCACCCAACTCCCCCTATCCTCACTACCTCTTCCTTCCGCCCCTTAATCCCATCGCCCCCTATGCTCACCGGAACAGTCTTGATAACCTAAACACCAATCATAAATCGTGTATTTCCTCTCGGCTTTTCGTTGCCAGTCATTCGTAAGATGAAATCCTTTTCTCGTCGAGCAAAAAAATTATAGATTTTAGTTCACAAAATTACGACTGAATGAGAAAATATATATATATATATTTTTTTAAAGAAAAATTGTGAGATTCTATTCCATTTCTTCCAAATGCCTCTGTCAACTGGCAATGACAGAGTGGCAATTGCCCGTTAATCTGCTTGTATTGACATTTTTACAGTCACTTCTCCTGTCCCTTTGATAGACAAGGAAATGTAAAAATTTGAAGACACCCCAGGCTTTCGAAAATATAAAAATTAAATCCCCGATTCTTTCAGGATACAGACATTTGAAAAGGTTGCTAGGTCGTTGCAATGTGGGCATTTTGGGCGGAACGAACAACTTTAAAATCATATGTTTAAAAATACAGTTTGCTGAGAAAATAAAGTGAGGCATTTTTTTAACAAGTGGTGCATCAGTATATGATTCTAGACCAGTGATTCCCAAACTGTTTGAAAATCAGGGCTCTTTTCATAATTATGTTTCTGTTGTGGAGCCCAGCTCCCTTCCAGGTCTGCCGAACCATTTATCTTACACAAGTTTATGGTATTTAGAAGTAATGATACGGAGCCGAGGAAGAATTTGAAAATGACGGTAGCTCGGTTGAAAAGACATCCATATATATATATATATATATATATATATATATATATATATATATATATATATATATATATATATATATATATATATATATATATATATATATATGCAGCAAACTGGTCAGCAATAATTTTTCGTTCCTGTGCCAGTTGATTTCACATAAAATGCCCTTTGCTGTCGCATTTGAAAACTCGTGAAAAACTTATCAGTCCGAGCAAAATCTAGAAGCGCACACACGCACAGTAAATGCGTAAGGCAGCGGTTAGATATGCAAATTCTAACTACCCCCCCCCCCCCCGCCCCCAAGCCCCCCGCCAGAAATGCAGCTCGATGTTGATAGAAGCAGTCAATTACTACAAGCCATCATGAAATCCACAGCTCACAGTGTCGTACTAAGCATCAGCTCAGTAGCCAGGCAACGAAACCTTTCAATTCTTAGTCCAGAAATCGGGAAATTACTTTAGCAAATGGTTGGCCGAAACAAATATTTCTTCATGTCTTCAATGACCAGTTGGCTTGTCCGTCATATTGGCCAGAAATCTGGTTGAGTTTGTATATGTTTTTCGGGTCATGTGTGACGTTCTTTCATTCATAAATTCTTGGTTTTTCTGTACACTTTCAGCAGACGCCAGTGGCACAGAATGTCTGCGGATCTTTACGGAGAGATGGGCATTGGAAGTGCCTGGGACTGACATTCATGATCGTTGTATGCCTAGCAACCATCGCTTGGTGCCAGTTTGACAAAACGGAAAAGGTATGACTTCCACACTTGATTCTTTAAGTTATGTACTGTAGTTATTACTACACATACATGTTAATTAGTTAATTAGTTAGCTAGCTAGTCAGTCAGCCAGTCAGTTATTAGTTAGTTAGTTATTCAGCCAGTCAGTCAGTCAGTTATTAGTTAGTTAGTTATTCAGCCAGTCAGTCAGTCAGCCAGTCAGTTATTAGTTAGTTAGTTATTCAGCCAGTCAGTCAGTCAGTTATTAGTTAGTTAGTTACTCAGCCAGTCAGTCAGTCAGTCAGTCAGTTATTAGTTAGTTAGTTATTCAGCCAGTCAGTCAGTCAGCCATTCAGTTATTAGTTAGTTAGTTATTCAGCCAGTCAGTCAGTCAGCCAGTCAGTTATTAGTTAGTTAGTTATTCAGCCAGTCAGTCAGTCAGTCAGTCAGTTATTAGTTAGTTAGTTATTCAGTCAGTCAGTTATTAGTTAGTTAGTTATTCAGTTAGTCAGCCATTCAGTTATTAGTTAGTTAGTTATTCAGTCAGTCAGTCAGTCAGTCAGTCAGTCAGTTATTAGTTAGTTAGTTAGTTATTCAGTCAGTCAGTCAGTCAGTCAGTCAGCCAGTCAGTTATTAGTTAGTTAGTTATTCAGTCAGTGAGTCAGTCAGTTATTAGTTAGTTAGTTATTCAGTCAGTCAGTTATTAGTTAGTTAGTTATTCAGTCAGTCAGTTATTAGTTAGTTAGTTATTCAGTCAGTCAGTTATTAGTTAGTTAGTTATTCAGTCAGTCAGTTATTAGTTAGTTAGTTATTCAGTCAGTCAGTTATTAGTTAGTTAGTTATTCAGTTTGTTTTTTAGTCAGTCAGTCAGTCAGTCAGTCAGTCAGTCAGTCAGTCAGTCAGTCAGTCAGTCAGTTAGTTAGTTAGTTAGTCAGTCAGTCAGTCAGTCAGTCAGTCAGTCAGCCAGTCAGTCAGTCATTCAGTTACTTAGTTAGTTAGTTAGTTAGTCAGTCAGTCAGTCAGTCAGTCAGTCAGTCAGTCAGTCAGTCAGTTAGTCAGTCAGTCAGTCAGTTAGTCAGTCAGTTAGTCAGTCAGTCAGTCAGTCAGTTAGTTAGTTAGTTAGTTAGTCAGTCAGTCAGTCAGTCAGTCAGTCAGTCAGTCAGTCAGTCAGTCAGTCAGTCAGTCAGTCAGTCAGTTAGTTAGTTAGTTAGTTAGTTAGTTAGTTAGTCAGTCAGTCAGTCAGTCAGTCAGTCAGTCAGTCAGTCAGTCAGTCAGTCAGTCAGTCAGTCAGTCAGTCAGTCAGTCAGTTAGTTAGTTAGTTAGTTAGTTAGTTAGTTAGTTAGTTAGTTAGTTAGTTAGTTAGTTAGTTAGTTAGTTAGTTAGTTAGTTAGTTAGTTAGTTAGTTAGTTAGTTAGTTAGTTAGTTAGTTAGTTAGTTAGTTAGTTATCTGACATTGACCCCTCCTACACATTGCAGATGGGACAGGTCCATAAGCGCTTGGATCCCGTCTCAAGTATCTTCCTCAGCGTGTAGCGACTGATATCACCAGACCTGCGTTGGTTTACTATTCTTCTTTGGCTACCTGTATAGTATTTATGTCTGACATAACCACTTTTGACTTTCTGCTCTTGTAGACTGGTCAAGGTTGCTGATGCATCGTCATCTTCTGAATTATTTACATATTCTGCCTCCTTGACAGCATTGTGAACATCGGTCCGTTTCGCTCCTTTTCCTGTGCCTACCGTGACCCTGCAGAAAGCCAGTCCGTTAGTTCATTCCCTTTTACCCCAGAGTGTCCTGGCACAATCAGGAAATACTCCGGTCGGACGAGATTTTACGAGAGACTCCAATCGGTCTTCGGAGCCATCTTGTTTTGATCTTATTAAAAACGTTATGGAATCAGAAAGCACGCATTGGAAAAGGTGAGGGGGAGGGTGAGGGGTATGTTTAAGGAACTAAGTAATTACTTTTGTGACCGCCTTCACCTCCATAGTCAGAATGCTTGTGGTCAAAGTAAAAGTACTGCTAGTTTCCTTAACAGTTTTCCCTCCACCCATAACCGTGAAAGACTATGCACTTTGCACAAGCTGAACAACGGATCCATTGATGCAAGAAACAGCACCTCCATCGGCAGAATTGTCAAGAATTAAGGCTTGAACCTCCGCCTACACCACCAAATGGGTTTTGTTGTCTGCAGTCTCTGTCTAGTTTTATACAGACTGAAAAGAATGTACACCATTCTGTTGGGACTGGTACCCATGCTCACCGGATTCCATGTGTAGTTTAACAGTGAACAGAAAGTATTAACAGGTACTATTCATCATCATGTAGCAGGTCCTTTGCAGAACGTCGCTCTCATCACAGTCTGCCTGAAAGAAACTCGGTCTCTCCCCAGCTCTCCCGCCTCATGCACTTTCACACTCAAGGAGTCACTTATATCCTGTGCCCATCTTCGTGTCGGTCGGCCCCTGCCAGCTGGTACCATGCCTTCTGCTATTATTTTTTCTAATCCGTCGTGACGCTTGATATGACCAAAATATTTCAGCTTTCGAGAAAGGATGCTGTTTATTAGCCAATCTTCCTTGATCTTCAGATCTTTTAAGATGTCAATATTTCTCATCTTCTTTGTCCAAGATATTCTGAGAATCTTTCTATAGCATTTCAGCTCAAAAGCCCCTATTCTCTTTCTTAAGGACTGAGAGATAGTCCACGACTCACATCCGTATGCAGCCACAGGGAAGATGCATGCTCTCAAAATTCTCATTTTTATCTCCTTGCTGGTGCTTAACCATAGGTTTTAAAGGCTGTTCAATCTTTGCATTGCTATGGCCATCCTCCTTTTAATTTCTGTTCGAACAGTCTCCATTGTTGTTTAGTACTATTATTACTGATAAATTCACCACAACCAAACATGACATCTGACATTGACGGATTATACAGTGAAAGAAGGAGATATGGAGTAGCATTAAAATATGCTAGAATCCCATGTGAGAGTAAATATGGTAACACACATCGCTCTGAGGTAGTCAAGTTCAGCCATTTGAAGCGCTAGAAACATGCCAGATACCGACACTGCCAGTGGAAATGAGATAACGAGGAACGCTGGTCAGAAAACGCCCTACGAGATACAGCGAGACGACTGACCAGTGGCATCGAGATATTCCAGGACCTCTGTGGGAAGATAGAAGATGAACAGTTTGCATTGGTATGTTTATAATATGGTTATTCGACGAAAAACAATATCAAACAACACTCTAGGACTTAAACGGACCTCCGCGTACCGGCCATAGGATACAAAAACCTGTATTTAACGGGAATCTTTTGGCTAAAGGCGGCGTCCGTGGCTTAGGCGTTGCTAGTCCGACTCGTAATCCAACGTACCGCGATCTAAACCCACTGCTGGCTGCGTGGATTTTTATCGTGGTATGTGGCGTCGCAGGTCGACCCAGCCTAAAATGGGTACCAGGATGGCTGTCCTGGGAAAGTAAAGACGGCCGGTTTAATGCTGACCACATTACCCATCCAGTACCAATTGGTCTGTAAAAATATGGGACGCTCTTCCCATATACTCGATGCACCTAAGGCGTGAAAAGGGATCTTTACTTTGTGTGTGTGTGGCTAAAGTCTTTATCAATGGGTAAAAAACGTGATGATTACCTGAGGATTAAAACCAGTCATCATTAGGATAAGTAGAGTAATCCAAACGAAACTGTGGGGGTCGTGATGGAGAGGGGGGGGGGTGTGTGGGGGATATATGTCAACAGTGGCATGTGTGTTTATTTAAAATTCTTTTACATCATTGCCTTACGTTACAACATTTGAACACAGAAGCCTGACTTTATTTCCAGACGGTGCTAACCTACTTAGACATGGCGTTCAGTAACTCGGATCGGTCGGGCTCGTGCAAGGAAGGATACATCTACATCCCCGTGGCTTGTGTCATCATCTTGTACCTGGTCTATTTGGTAGAGTGCTGGCACTCGCACGCCTGGCTGCAGCTCAAGTACAAGGTTAATAGTGAAGTCTTTTTGTGTAATGATAGAGTTTATCGTATTAACAGTTTGGGATACATATCAAGTTAGTATACTCTTCTTCTTCTTTTTGTTTATCGGCTGTAAACTCTGGCGGTTGTTCGTCCACTTCTGTACTGCAGTCTTGTTTCAGAACCTGAGTGTTACGTGAGCATCTGTTTGACAGATCTGACTAATTTAAATGCAGACTGTTGATTCCTTGCCTCTCAGGCGGATGCACTCCGACTTCAAAGGTTGTTCCCAATTAGTCGACTCTTGCGACATGTTTTAGGTAGGCAGTGGGTCTATTCTTGTTTTCACTGTAATAGGGCCCCGGAACCCATACTGGGAGATAGTTAGTATAAATTATCTGTAAGAAACGGAGCTTTAGAAGGATACAAACCAGAAAAGACATTTACAAGGTTCAGTGTAACTGTTAGGGAAAAGTTAGTTGGGTATCCCTTACAGGACTTTGCAGAAACTACCCCAAGCATTTTTTGGCTGTTGTGGTTTTTTAAAGCAAACGTTACTTTCAGCAGTTTACCACTGCTTCTGAACGGCCAGCTTTGGGTACCCCTATCAAAACCAACGCAAGACAAATCGTCTGTAGCTAGGGTCGAACTTGGCACCTCGGCATTACGAAGCGCATTCGCAATGCCTTAGGCCACAGACACTGATAGTTGTTGGGGAAAATGACAAAAATAATAAGGAAAAACTCCACATGGGAGCAATCGCAGCAGGAGCAGATACCGACCATCAGTGGGATGAAAGTCTCGACTCAGATTGTTTCGGCCCGATATCCTAGACAATTTAAGAGGGCGGGCCAGTCTAGTTCTTGACGTCAGACCCCGGTTCTCCTGCTGCGTTTAATCGGACAGTGACAAGACGAAACATTTACTTTGCAGGTATGTGAAAATTGTTATATATATATATGTGTGTGTGTGTGTGTGGGGGGGGGTGTCTGTGTGTGTGTGTGTGTGTGTGTGTGTGTGTGTGTGTGTCGTTGCGGTAGCAAATTGGTCGCCTACCTTTACCAGGGTGATAAGCTTACGGTTGGTTCAACGGACAAATGTTAGACTCTGGCAATTGGCAGAGAGACACTGGCAGACATTTGTCGGGCACTTTGGCTTTTTAGGGATGAAAAATTCCTCTCCACTAGGGGCTCAGACCAGTCTATTTTTAGGGATGAAAGTTCCTCTCTACTAGGGGTTCAAACCAGTCTATTTTTGGGGATGAAAAGTTCCTCTCTACAAGGGACTCAGAACAGTCTACCGAGGCTCGTCCCCAACGACGTTCCGTTGCGCCCAGAGCAAACTCGAAGCCCTTTCAGCTCGTTTCCTTGCAAGCCCAGCTGATTTAGCACATTGTATATGGAAGTGGAGGGAAGACTTCTTGAGCCTACCTCGACGACGAAGATTTTTACTGCGTACGCTTCGTCTCTCATCAGACCAGCCAGAATAATTGAACGATGCTAGGATAATGGGTGTGATTGAACTGGTGATTAGAAGTGTGAGTGAACCTAGGGTCCTTCTATGTCCGGCGCCTGGACAAGTCGAGCGGAGCAATGACTGTGTGTGAGAAAGCGGAATCAAACCAAACAGCCTACAGAAGCTATGAATATTTAGTCCTCTTGTAACTGCTGGAATGATTGCAAGTTGATGACAGTTAACTAGGCCGACTGAATGTTTCAATGGGAACCCAATCCTGCTAGCGATTGGCTGCCACGTTTGAGTGGATGCAGGGTATTGTGTAGTGCGTGTAATTACCAAGATTTTTTTTTGATATTTGAGCTGAAGGCTCTCTTCATTTTACCCAAGACTAGAACCAGTGTTGCCACTTTGGATGTTTTACATCCAGATTTAGATGTTTCCCTTGCATTTAGATGGCGTTTTTGATGTTTAGAGATAGATGTTTTTTCTAGAGGTTTTTTATTTGGAGTGAATTTATCAAATCTAACCTAAGAAACAGGATAAAATTTGACCTCTTAAATGCTATCTTGACAATTAAATTCGGCCTGATAAGAGTATAAAAAGGCTATTCCACTTATCAGCTCCCTGATTGCGTATTAAAAGAAATTGGAACAGCTAAAGCATACCAGTCATTTTGAATCTGAAGCTTCAACTTCATCATCCAAGCTAAGTTTATCCTGTGATCTTGTAAGGCAGTCTTCAGTAAAGATGAGGAAATGATTCTTTAGGGTAAGTCATATCAGTTGCTATGTAATTTGTGACTCTTTCCATTTTGATGTTTTTTTTCTATATGTTTTCCATGCAAATTCAGATGTTTTTAGATACTTTTTGACTCCGTTTTGGAAGTTTTTTGTCAAAGAAAAGTGGCAACACTGACTGGAACTAGTGACAGGGGACAGACGACCGTACACAGCCCTGCAACAGCAAATAAATGCTTGTGGGTTAGATTTGTGGTTCGGCTGTTTATCGTGGGGTGATAAGCATCGTTTGTCAATGCGGTCTCAGTCTTCTAGAATGTTACTCCTCCATCCTTTAGGAGTATACTGCTTGATACCAAGTATTATTGTTTTCTTGAGTTAGTGAGTTAGTCAGTTAGTCGACAGATTATCCTCATTGCACGTCGAACCACTCAGTCCATAAGTGCTTTGATCCCCTCCTCAGTAAATCCCGCAGCGTGTAGCCGCTGACGACACTGGTCCTGTGTTGGTTTATTTTTCTTCTTTGGCTACCTGCGTAGTGTTTATGTTTGGCGACACCCCTTTTAACATTTTGTTCTTGCAGTCTGACTATGGTTGCAGATTCGCAGTTCTCAGTTGGTTCACGCAAACGTCTTAACTGTCTTAGAGCATTCAGTATATCAGCCTGGTCCATGGCTTGTCTGGCTTTCACAATAGCCTTACCTGCAGGTCTATCAGCTTGCTCTTTTCCTTGTACCCCGACATATCCTGACACAAAAATGAAACTAATCCTTGTCAGCTGTGAATGCTGCAGAGCCAAAAACCACTGCTTTCGGACCCAGCACTTCTCTATCTTCATGAGCATACTCATTGAATCACTGAGAAAACATGCTCCAGTGAAAGTCTGTGTCTCTAGCCATGTTACTGCTGTTTTTTTTTTTTTTTTTTTTAAATGTTTGCTATAGTATAAGTGAGCTAACGGGAAAGCGCTCTCTCTCTCTCTCTCTCTCTCTCTCTCTCTCTCTCTCTCTCTCTCTCTCTCTCTCTCTCTCTCTCTCTCTCTCTCTCTCTGTCACACACACACACACACACACACACACACTCATTCAAACCTCTTAATTGGTAAATACATATCGTGTGGTCCATTCTTCATGCCGTGAAATGCAGCTTTCACTTTGCGCTGTTCTAATTTTAACTTTTTTTTTTAAATTTACATCTTCAGTCCACTGTTTCAAGCTGCTCCTTGAACGCATTAATTAGCTTGAGTTTGTTCCCATTTACTTTGATGCTTACACTGTTGAAGAGGGGATCTGGGCACTTATGGACTGAATCGTTTGATGTGTGATAATAATCTGTCGACTAACTATGGAGGAAAATAATGCGTTTGAGTTTGCATACATACGAATTTATCACGTGATCCGCTCAAAGTCCGCCTTACGAATACCTGGATTAGATTTTGGAAACGCAAGCATATTACTGTTTTTATGAAAAGCTTTATAAAACCATTTTGCCAGATGAAGTCTGAGGATGACAATTTCCATTTTAGGGATTTCTTGCTTATTTTTGTGTCGCGAGGAGAATGAGGAGTGAAGAGGTCGAAGCGGCTGCGTGCAATGTTTTTCAAAAGTCAACAAATCTGTGTTGATTCTGTGTATGGCTGTTTGATTAGCTTCTGGTTGGTTTGTGCGAATTAATTTATGTCAACAACAAACAAACAAAATGGAAAAGAAAACACTACAGATATTCAGGCCGGCAGACAGACATACAGAGAAAGAAGCTCAGTATACACGTTGAAGAAAAGATAGCATGACAGACGGGAGTGCGGAAAGAAAAAGAAAAACCCTTTGGCTCCCAGAACTGAGAGGCTCAGGTGCCTTGATGACCCCATTCCCTACCCCCTCCCCTTTTTTAAGGCTAAAAAATATGTATGCCACAGGGGTGGGGCGGGGCGGGAGGGTGTGGGGCGGGGCGGGTTGGCTGAAGACTGCGATCAGCGTTGTATGCATGTTTGAGTGTGTGTTTATATATATATACGTACATACACACACAAAGTTGAGCGTAGTCTTTGTACTGTAAACACACACTCAAACATGCATACAATATATATATATATATATTAGAGCTGTACCGAACATTCGCTTCGGGGCCAAATAGTGGATCTAATAACTATTTGGTATTCGGCCGAATACTTGCGGTCGGGCCGAATACGAATAGTGGTTATCTTAAACCCGCTTTTGCATTCACTGCCTTAATGATGATAACATCAAACGATTGATTTTGTTGAAAGCTAATGCAGCTTTCATGCATGAACTAAGCTGTCAGTCACAATTTACAATTTTAGTTGCGAGTTTTATTACTTAGAATACTTTCACTCCTAGTTATTAGTTGCCACAGACTGACTAAAAGATTCAAAACATAACATGTTTTTAAATGCTTGCTATTTCGTACTACATTTTGTCAAGTAAACGTTCAGCGTACATTTGACATTATGAATGTTTTTTAGATGTTATTTTATACACTATACACTATTCGTATTTGTAATCGGCTGAATAGTGATAATAATCTATTCGGTACAGCTCTCTCTCTCTCTCTCTCTCTCTCTCTCTCTCTCTCTCTCTCTCTCTCTCTCTCTCTCTCTCTCTCTCTCTCTCTCTCTGTGTGTGTGTGTGTGTGTGTGTGTGTATATATATATATATATGTATATATATGTATATATATATTCTGACAGTGTGACATCGCCTCGGTCTACACGACAATCAGTAGGATGCAGGAAGCTCTGCCCGTTATCTGGTGGAAGGCTACCTGCTACCACTACGTCAGGAGATCCCGCCAGGTCATGAGATACCGAAACGGCGACGCCTTCACCTCTACTCAGGTTGTATGGTGCTGTTGTAGTTGTTGCTTGGTCTCCTTAACCTCCACATTTATAATTGTGTTATTTTGATTTATTTCTTCGTACCCCAGCCCTCAATATCATCATTATCATCATCATCGTCATCATCATCATCATTATCATCATCACCGCTTTAGAGGTCCTGGATAGTTAGCGTCCTTTGGATATTTTCTCCAGGTTATGCGAAACGAGCAAGCAGATAGACTAGCCGGTTTTGCGCCACTTGGTGGTGAATTGATATATGACAAGCTAGATTTTGTGAGGGCCCTTTGGAAGCGAGTTGACAGTGTGGAGACCCAAATAGATCTGATAAGAATTGCGCTGTGAGGAGTTACCGCGAGATCTGACCGAAGCTCAGCACTCAAGGCAAGGGCGAGACGGATATACAGTCAGACAGTTACTAGTGCTATCGGAAGTAGAACTCCTCGCTTGCTACTGAAGATGGGGACAGAGCGCTTATGGGAGTGTCCCGAGTGCTGTAATGTTGATTCTTAATTCGGCATTCAACATTCATCATCATCAGCATCATTATGCAGCAGGTCCATCACAGAACGCCACCGCGATAATATCCTAAAAAAGTAAAAAGTTAAGATTCTTTTTCACGTCTTAGGCGCATCGGGCATATGGGAAGAGCGTCCCATATTTTTACAGACCACTCGGCACCAAGTGGGTAATATGGTCAGCATTACCCCGGCCGTCTTTACTTCCCCAGAACAGCCATCTTGGTACCCATTTCAGGCTGCGTCGACCGGTGACGCCTCATACCATGATTAAAATTCACTTGAAGCCCTACTCTGGCTCTTGCCAGGGGCCGCAATATAGCCCGAACATAAATATGGTCCAATGGCTGAACGCCGTTTCTGGGACCTCTCGACTGTGACCCTCATCCACATGGTGGCACTTTGTGTCATCGGGTGATAATCCCTTGTGTGATGTCCTGGTGGGGTAAAAATCTACTACAATAGGTTTCAATCGCGGTACTTTGGAATTACGAGTCGGACTCGCAACGCCTGAGCCACAGACGCCGCTGTGAATTCGGCCTTTCGTCAGCTCTCCTGCCACTTACACTTTTATATCCAAGGTATGTCCTTTACCCACCTTCGTGTGGTCGGCGCCTGCTCCTCTTACCCGAAACCATACTGGGTCAACTCTGTACGGACTGGGCTAGTGGATAATGAGGAATCCCTAACACTAACACGATTTCGTGATCATCATCATCATCATCAGGTGCCTTGCCGACTGGCGTGGGCGATCATGCCTCTCCATAATCTGCGATCTCCTGCAGCATGTATCAGTTCGGGTGCCGACACACCTCCATGCCATGCAACAAGACTGTCAAGCATGATTTCGTGATATGGGAGTAAATCATGGTGAAGCACGTCTATGTCGTCTTCGAGGCCGAGATATGAGACAATATAACCAGCTTCTCGTGAGAACAATTAGTAGAAGTACTTTATAGTGGCTGCCGCATCAGAGGAATGAGCACGCATGGAAATGCCCAATGTGCAGTGACGTCAATTGTGATAACATAACCATACCTTCTATTGCCCCCCCCCCCCCCATGCCACTGTGTTCTACACGGTCACCAGTTAGCAAATGACTTGAGTTTGCTTGCATATAAACTTTATTATATTCGCTTTTGAATGTATGTTTGGACGTTTTTCTGTGCGGAACTTCGTGATCGATTTTTACACTATTTTATGATAAGCTATCGAGCTAAACTGTTGCATACATACGCTTTGTGGATGAAAATTTAGTCTGAGGTGTGTTCCACACACACACACAAAAAAGCATTTTCTGTTGTTGTTTTTGTTTTCAATATCAGTAATGTTATTAGTGTTTAGTTCTATCCACGTTTCTGTTCCTTAAAACAGTTTTGACGCAAGAAAACAAGAATAGACCCACTGCCTACCAAAAAACATGTTGTAAGAGTCGACTAATTGGGAGCTTTCTTCGAAGTCGGAGTGCATCTGCCTGAGAGGCAAGGAACCAACAGTCTGCATACAAATGAGTCAGATCTGTAAAACGGATACACACGCAAAACTCAGGTTCTGGAACGAACAACCAGAACTTGCCGCTTTGTGATTTTGCAGGTTACTTCGGAATTGTCGGTTAGTCCATTATATTCTCGATGTCTGTGGCTTAGGCGTTGCGAACGCGCTTCGTAATGCCGAGGTGCCTGTCAGCTTAGATCTCAGCTGTAGGCGAAACCGACAGCAGACCATCTTGCGTTTGTTTCGACAGTGGTATCGAGAGTCGTCCGTTTAAGAAAGCCACGGCAAACTAATGAAAGTAAATTTGCCTAGAAAAATGACAACACCAAAAACAAAGAATTGCTGGGTTGGTTCTGCAACGTTCCGTAAAGAATACGCAACTTACTTTTTGTAAAACCCCAAAATAACTGTTATATAGTTGAATGGGGTGTCTAGGATTTGCCCTGCTAGATTCCTATCAGATTAGTGACTCCTTGTTTACTAGGTGTCAATATTTGAGACTGCAGTAAGGGAAGGGAAAGAAATACAAATTTATTGTAAGTAGAATAACTGTCCGCTTCCAAACTGGCAACTGTGCAAGTGAAAGAACTGGTGTATTTCCACGCACGGCCAACTAGACATGTAATGATCACTAGTTCTATCATTCACTTCTGTTAAAGTTAAACAATGCCTGTGTCTCATCATGTAGCAGTGCCTTTACAGAATGTCGCTCTCATCGCAGCCAGCTTGAAAGAAACTCGGTCACTTATATCCTGTACCCATCTTCCTGCTGGTCGGCCTCTGCCCCTCTTTCCTGATACCGTGCCTTCTGCTACTATTCCCCCCCCCCCCCAATACCGCCGTGGCTTATAGGCCCTAGCCCTATCGCCAAAATATTTCAGTTTCCGGTACAAGATGCTGTTTATTAGCCAATCTTCCTTGATGTTCAGATCTTTTAGGTTGTCAGTTTTTCTTTTCGTTTTTGTCCCTGGTATTCTGATAATCTGTGTATGATATTTCAGATTTAAATTTCCTATTTTTCTTTCCCTAATGACTGCGATTTACATATTTTGTTATAGGAAAGATACATGCTCTCAAAATGTTAACGTTGTCTTCCTTGTTGGTGCTTAACCATAAAGTTTTAATGATGTTTAGTATTTGCATTGCTATTGTCATACCCCTTTTGACTCCTCGTGAATGGTCTTCAGATTTTTTATTATAGTGCCTAGATATTCAAAGTTTGTTACATTTTCAATTTCTTGATCATTTTGTCAGACTGTGTTTCTAATATTAATCAATAAATTAATGTCTACAGATTTATTACGAAAGAGTGGATTCAAATACAGCAGGGGCAGCCTTCAACTTTACCCGCTGTGGGGTCAAGGACATTTCACGACCTTTGTCCGACCTGGAAAAGTACCCAGCGGTCAAAATCAAGATCAGTAAAGGGTTCTCCTTTGCAAACTTGGACACTGAATATGAATTTGAGGAGCAGCGGTCGCAATTCTTTCAAGAGCATGAAACGAAGGATGATTACATGGAAGGGAGGGAGGGGATGGACTTAATTAATGTTGATTTCAAGGAATATGTTATTGCTTTTAAGGATCCAAATAATTTACCCTGGTATGTCTCCCGTGCAGTGTTCTGGATTGGTTCTCTTGTTCTTTTATCATGGCCACTTCGCGCTATTATTGAGTTTAAGACCGCACATTTACACTACCACATTCATAAATTGTTTGGATCAAATTATTTAGGTTCGGATCGCTGTCCCGGGTTGATTAGTAGAGTCAGTACAATGAACAGTACAGAATTTGAAATGAGTATACGTAACAATAACGTTATAGTTCCTAGCTATTCGGAAGCCATGCTGGTAGACATTCACGAGCAGCAAGGAAGAGATTACGGAGCTATCAAAACGTACCCGGTAAAGTTTCCACGTAGTTTGACTAATGCTACTTTAGCTAGTCGGTCGACTTGGAGATCTGCAACACCTACTGTTATGATGAACCAGGTAAAGAAATTTAAAAGCTGTAATGTGTTAGAAAATGTTGAGTCGACAGATCCCTCGCTACAGTCTGGCTCTTTCCGTTATCATGTTCGGCAACTGATGCGAGAAAGAGGCAAAAAGCAAGCAAAAACTGCTATAAGCCTGTCCCATGGTAATATATCAGGTTTCTTAAGCAACGAAAATGTAAGACGGAATCGTTATTCCATTGATACATCTAACGGTGTGACTTCGTCTGTTTGTAATTATCATTCCATTGAACCATCGAACATGACCTCTGCTTTCTCTAATGGGGCATCGTCTAAAACTACATCCGGGTCAGTGGAGGCACGATGTTATGACCCAGATGTTCAAACTGTTACTTCATTAGGACCTAAACTGATAAACAAACACCCAAAGTCGCCACTGAGCAGATCAAAAAGTGTACCCGATTCCGATTCTTCTCAGCGATATATTCTCAGCCACATACCATATTTACATAGAGACAAACCTCCATTAGAATCTATTTCAAACAGTTCCGACATCCATCAAGTATTAAACTCCAATCCAACATCATCAAACTATGAGGGCTACAACAAAAATATATTTTCTAGAACAACTACTGCACCCATTTTCCCGACCACACCACCATCTCCTCCTGCATACGAAGAAGCTATCAAAATGCGACAGATCTTTCCCGCTTTTCTTCCCAAGTCAGCATTAAACTCTGTCGACCAGGCAGCGGAAATTGGATTTACAGAAAACTCTTCTTCAGAATTACCGATGTCAAATATGGCAGTCACTAGAGCACGCAGAGGTCACGGCGATAAAGGTAACACTGATTTAGTCCGGCTAGAAGGACCGATCGATTCCGAAATCGATATAGGAAAGTCTGAGCAGTCTTCAGAAAGACAAGTCGATGATTCGAGGGAGGTCGTTTACCACCTACACACTAGTACAAATTCAGAAGAAGAAAAACGTTACTCCAATTCCCATTTTACCCGCCATCGAAACGACCAGCAGCAGTCAAACAAGTTGAAAGCTCTTCCAAAAGTCAGTAAGATAACCCACACAGGCGCTGACGATTCCGATACTGAGTGTTTGCACGGAACGTATTCGGATTTGGGAAACTTTGACACTGTACCAAGCAGTGATGATTGTTTATCTAACAGAGCGTCACAACAGCGAACTTTCGGAATCGGGTCGATATCCCGTTTAGCAGTGTCTGTGATTGCTCAAGATGGCATGTGTGACCCGACGGGTTCATTGAATCAGAGCTTGAACAGTGGCACTCAATCACCCAGTGTATCGAAGTCAGCCATCACTCAAGCTAGAACTTCCGGTCTAGATAGTTTCTGTAGACATCGCATGGAAACGTCAGTCTGATTGACAGAAGTGGGTCAGCATTAGGTGGTAGGGAGGGAGATGGGTGGAAGGAGATGGGTGGAAGGAGATGGGTGGAAGGAGACCGATAAACAGTCTATGGTGTGTGGGTTTAGAGCAAAATAAAAACAAGAAGTGTTGGGAAGTAGTTACTGTGGTAGTACAGCAGCAGTAGTAGTAATGGTGGTGGTGGTGATAGTAGCAGAAGGGTATGGTGATGGTGGTAGTAGTAGTAGTAATGGTGGTGGTGGTGGTGGTGGTAGTATTAGTCGGAGCAGCAGCATTAATTGTAGTAGTAACGGTAGTAGTGGTGGTGGTGGTAGAAGAAGAAGAAGAAGAAGAAGAAGAAGAAGAAGAAGAAGAAGAAGAAGAAGAACAAGAACAAGAAGAATAATAAGAAGAAGAACAAGAACAAGAAGAAGAACAAGAAGAAGAACAAGAACAACAAGAAGAAGAACAAGAAGAACAAGAAGAAGAAGGAAAAGAAAGAAAGAAAGAAAGAAAGAAAGAAAGAAAGAAAGAAAGAAAGAAAGAAAGAAAGAAAGAAAGAAAGAAAGAAAGAAAGAAAGAAAGAAAGAAAGAAAGAAAGAAAGAAAGAAAGAAAGAAAGAAAGACAGACAGACAGAAAGACAGACAGACAGACAGAAAGACAGACAGACAGACAGAAAGACAGACAGACAGACAGACAGACAGACAGACAGACAGACAGACAGACAGACAGACAGACAGACAGACAGACAGACAGACAGACAGACAGACAGACAGACAGACAGACAGACAGACAGACAGACAGACAGACAGACAGACAGACAGACAGACAGACAGACAGACAGACAGACAGACAGACAGACAGACAGACAGACAGACAGACAGACAGACAGACAGACAGACAGACAGACAGACAGACAGACAGACAGAAAGAAAGAAAGAAAGAAAGAAAGAAAGAAAGAAAGAAAGAAAGAAAGAAAGAAAGAAAGAAAGAAAGAAAGAAAGAAAGACAGAAAGAAAGACAGAAAGACAGAAAGAAAGAAAGAAAGAAAGAAAGAAAGAAAGAAAGAAAGAAAGAAAGAAAGAAAGAAAGAAAGAAAGAAAGAAAGAAAGAAAGAAAGAAAGAAAGAAAGAAAGAAAGAAAGAAAGAAAGAAAGAAAGAAAGAAAGAAAGAAAGAAAGAAAGAAAGAAAGAAAGAAAGAAAGAAAAAGATCCTGAATGTCAGTCCAACAGGGCAAATCTTAGATAGCGTCTTCGACCTCCTAAAATCATGACGGTAATCGTTATAACAATAGCTATGCATTATCTTGTAACTAACTGTCACTTCTGCTGTTTAGGGTGAGGCGGGAAAAAGGAAAAAAAAAAAGGTTTTGAATTATCATAGCTAGCTAAGACTGGGAAGGTCAGCATTTTTGCCCCCACAGAAAAATTAAAATCCCCAGACTTAGTGAGGATTCGAACCCAGGTCTCCCGCTTGAAGGCCTTGCGGTCTAACCTTTCAGGCAGCCCACTCCTCCACTGTCTTGTAACTGGTCAGTATTGTTGTTAAGTGTTAAACACGAGACAGTGCGGTCTAGACGAATACAATGACGTCAAATGACAGTTAAATGATGGTCGCCCCACTTTTGACATGCTCCCAAGAGGATCAGCGTCCTGTTATCCGTTGTCAGCGAAGGGGTAGAACCTAAAGAAGTTCATCAGCTATTGAAGGTTCAGTGTGGTGATGCATGTTTGTCAGCCCAGCAAGTGTATGAGTGGTTGGTGTAGGAAGTTTCAAATCGACACTTCACGACTGGGTCAGATTGCTTTGTACGTGAGAGGGTGGGTACAGGGGCAAATAAAATAATTATGTATGGAGGTTAAGCCCTTATTTAGGAGTTCTTAATTCAACACTGTCAATCCTACCTGGGAAGTAAAGGCGGTCGGCATGATGGTGACCACATCCCACACCAAGTGCCAATAGGTCTATAAAATATAGGTCTAACCCTATATGCCCAATACGCCTGAAAGCTTGGAAATGGCTCCTGTTCTTTTAAATATTTCTTCACGTGTTTACTGTTCGGTGTGACACTAAACAGAATTTAAAATACAAATTTGTGATATTTTTCCTGTTGCAAAATGTGTTTCTTTGTTAGTCATTGTTTTAATAGTAATATGTATGTTTTATTAACAGCAAAAAAAAAATTAGCAAATGGTCAGACAACAACAAAAAAGTTGATAGAAGATGGTTCCCATTTGACAAAGTAGTTAGATCACATGTTACCCTGAGTGTGCCAAATGGAGCTGCGAGACCGGAGAACAGTGCGGTAGCCCTGCGTTCGCACTAACCCTTGAAAAAATTACCTACGTCAGAAACATTTCTGTACCGAAGCTTTAAAGCCCCACCCTGGCTTTTGCGGGGGCGACAAATATGGCTTAACAGCTGAAAGAGGTTCATGGGACATTTTCACGGGTTATCCTCATCTGCATGGTGGCACTTTGCGACACCGGGTGTTTATCGCTTGTATGATGTCCTGTGGGGTTAAATTACCTACCTAGCTCAAATACTATGGCAACCATCTCCCTTGTTGACACACAAGCAGATACCCTGGGGTACTAAAGTTTATCTTATAACTTGTGTGTGTATGTGTGGCCAGCACTATGCTATCAATATCATACGTGGACACTTAATCCTCTAATGAACATAAAATTGTGACAACTGAGATAAAATACCTTAGAAGAGCTGCAGGAGTTTCAAGGAAAGACAGAATACGAAATCAGACGAAAGCTAGGAATAAAGCTAGTCTTACAGCTCATCAAATAACAACACATGAAGTAGTTTGGACACTTTAAAAAAATACCTTGGTACTATCTACCACAGCAAGCCACACTGAAACATTACAACAGGTATGGGGGGAAGACCTCGTAAATATGGAGTGATGGCTTTAAAAAAATAGCCTTACGGAACTGAACATCAATTCTAATAGTGTTATTTAAAGAGCTCATCAACACATGTTATTGTTATACCCCCCACCCCGGCTCCCGCTTTCCCGACACTTCGCTGAGGTACAAGGTGGAAGAGTAGAAAATGAAGTGCGAGCCAAACTTTACGGGTCACTGAGCGAATAACAAAACACAATGAAGTTCATACTAGAGACAACATTGCAGATATCGATAATTTATTTCAAGCGAACTAAAGAAGAAGAATTTTAGAGCGTAAAGAAGTAAGTACAACAAAAACGTGTACTATCACCTGGATTGTATTCATTACATAGTAAGATCTGTCACGGATTTACCCTGAATTGTGGTTATGGTAATGGTACATAAATAACTGATTTTGTGCTAATGACCCGTGATTGTGATAAATCAAAAATAACTAGAGGAATTGATAGATACGGTTGTGGTAGAAATTTATAAAATGGATATCAGTTTCAATAACAACAAAATAATACAACAAGTAAAAGACATAATTGCAGGACAAGTCGGCATCATCACGTGCCCTGTCGACTGGCGAAGGCGTTCAGGCATCTCCACAGATCTGTGTCCCTTCTTATCTGGATCAGTTGCACCAAAGATGTCGCTCTAGGCCACCGGCTCAATCCATCCTTCATCCGACAGGACAAGTAGACCACGAGGCAGACCAAGAGGGCGATGGAGAGATGATGTCCAGGGAGATCTGCAAACTCGTGGTGTTACCAACTGGAAAGAGAAGGCCGATCAGAGAGATGAATGGAGGCGGGTGATATTTGCAGCAATGAACCTCAAGGGCTATCAATCGTAACACAGTCATATAAATCATTACGCAGTCATATAAATCGTTACTCAGTCATATAAAGGGAGTCATTTAATTGTTAGTCTTATAAATCGTTACGCAGTTCGTTACTTAGTCCTATATAAATCGTTACTTAGTCACATAAATTATAAATCGTTACCCAGTCATATAAGTCATTACACGGTCATATAAAAACGCAGTCTTGTAAATAATTAGACAGTCAAACAAAATTATTACGCAGTCCGATATAAATCATTACACAGTCATATTAAACCGTTACACAGTTGTATATAAATCATCGGCGTCTGTGGCTTAGGTGTTGCGAACACGCTTTGTAATTCCAGGATGCCGGGCTCAAACCCAGCTGCGGGCGATTTCACAGCAGATCGTCTTGCGGGGTTTTCGACTGTGGTACCAAAATGTTGAGCATTCAGAAAGGAATAACAAACTGCTGAACGTAAAATGTTCCTAGTCTTAAAGGAATGAAGACACTACTATCAGCCAAACACTTTTATCTGATAACTGCAGAAGAAGAAGAAGAAGAAGAAGAAGAAGAAGAAGAAGAAGAAGAAGAAGAAGAAGAAGAAGAAGAAGACAATGAACTGAACAGTTACGTGAACTGTCCTTTCCAACTCTTTGGAGTCGCTTGCTAACGCCTACCTATCAAAAACTGACTGCATGCGTCTCTGGTGACTTACTCCTCTGTTTACTTCCTTCTCTCGCACATGGGTCTTTAGTTGGGGACTTAAATTATCTGTGAAAGGATTGCGTCGCTTTGGAATTTTCCACCAGACAGGGGCTCTAGCTGTCCTAGTTTGTGGTTGTTCCCGACTTGTTTCAGTGTTGACAAATAATTTCCCGCGGGAACCTCCACCGGAACTTAAAATGCAATAATGCTGAATAATAAAGGGAGGCAATTTAATAGCTTTTAACAAGAAATTTAACTCGCGAATAAATACCAAAAATCATCTAATTCTGGGTTTTGACAGCAGAAAGGTGATGCACGATTTTGAAAATTTTAAATTTTTATTAACATTATCATTTATAATAAAAGCTGTATATCTATGCAAGGTGTTTAGTCAGACATCAATTACAAACTGTGTGAAATCAATCCACAATACTTTCAAAATCTTGCTACAATAGACGTCTAGGGTCAAATGTACCTATCGGAATTATTTAATTACAAACAATGAAACATCATAAAGAAATTCTTTGGCAGGCTACACTTATGTTGTAGCTTCTTCTAAAAAATCTGTAAGGTGGT